TTTTTTTTTTTTTTTTTTTTTTAGAGTGAGTGGAAGGGAGGGAGGGAGAGAGAGAAACATCGATGCTGCGAGAAACATCAGTTGGTTGTCTCCCACACACATACTGACTTGGGCAGGGGATTGAACCTACAAACTAGGCATGTGCTCTGACTGGGAATCGAACCCACGACCTTTCGGTGTATGAGTCGATGCTCCTACCAATTGAGCCACACTGGCCAGGGCCAGGCTTTCATTCTTTTTAAAAAAATATATATTTTTATTGATTTCAGAGAGAGGAAGGGAAGAGAAGAAGGGAGAGGGAGAGAGAGATAGAAACATCAATGAGAGAGAGTTATTGATCGGCTGCCTCCTGCACACCCCCTGTTGGAGATTGAGCCCAAAACTCCAGCATGTGCCCTGACCAGGAATCAAACCTCAATTTCCTGGATCATAGGTCGATGCTCGACCACTGAGCCACACTGTTCAGAGCCAGGCTTTTATTCTTAATGAAACAATAGAACTTAAGCTGCTGAATTGTACGATTTTTTTCTTTCAAATTTATAATTCCTCCTTTCCTCTTCTATGTATAGTTGGATTATCTTATCACTGTAATGCTATCAAGGTTCTAAAATTGTCTGTGATTATAGGTTTCTGATAATGGTACTTTAACTTAAAACCCAGGTGACAACTGTTTTTCTACCACAAACTGACCCCTTAATGTCTTTGGATCTCTTGTCTTTCCCTTCCTCTTTCTTTTCCAGTTGCAAGCTTTTCACTTTCATTTCTACCGTTTAGATTGCATTAGGAGCTAGGTAGATGGAAGACTGTCTTCTGCAGCAGCTTCCTCAAGTATTTAATAAGCTCAAAAGTAAATCCAGAATTGCACCAAGAATTCACCAGCATGTAGCCACGACCTCTCCTATTCTCACACTATGAAGCACTTAGCTATGCCTGACTCACAGCGAGCATTTCATATGTGTTAGGCACACACACTATTTTTTTTTCTGCCCACCTTGCTTATTTATACCGTGAGCTAACACCATCATCAGTATTTCCCTCGAGTTTGGCATCTGGTCTAATTTTGGAGTTACTGTTGGCACATTTTCTGCCTGGATCAGTGGGGTGCTTTAGTATTTACAGTTGGGGTATTCAGGATTATCCATGGTGGGCCACTTGATCCCAGTTCCAACAGTGGTGCAGACTACATGACCTTTAAAAAACTCATCACAGGAGTGAGTCCATGGGGTCCACTCCTAGCATGGAAGTATTAGATTTTTAACTGAATCAAATGCACATGGAGGAATAATTAGCTACCTAGTGACCTTTCTGTCACATCCTTTCATCATTCTCCAGTATTAATGATGTGGTTCTAGTGGAATTACACTTGGGAAGCTCAAAATCACACAATCACATTCAGCTTTGGTTTCAGGAACTAGTTGCTTGAAGCTTGCTAGCAGAGCTCTTAGCATCATCAGTTATGAACTGGGTCTCCACTCTGGCTGTGTCTCATTACCACCCACAGAGCTTTTTAAAAGATACAGATGCTCAGGTCTATCCCAAAGAGCAGGCCTGAATTGGTGTTAGGTAGGACCCATCCCTTGGTATTTTTAAAAAGGCTCTTCAAGTAACTTGGAGGGTGGAAGACTACTGAATGGCCGGACAACTTTGGACATACTGACTGTATTTTTATTTGTATTCACTAACTTGGTTGAACTCTCCTCTTCACAGCCTTAAGGCCCACCCCCCTTCTCATTTACTCTACAAATACAAGTTAAGATAGTAGAGCAGAAAGAGCTTAGCTTTGAGGCAGATTTCAAATCTTGTCTCTGTCTCTGATTAACAGGGTGACCTTGGAAAAGATGCTTAAATGTACCGACTTTTAGTTTTCCCATTTCTCAGATGGGATTAAGAAGACTTCTTTGTAAGTGGAGATTAAATTAATAATGTGATAGGAAAACATTTCATACAGTACCCAGCACACAGTAAGAGTATCTGTTAGCTTTCCTTTTATTTCTTTCTGTCTTTAATTTCTTAATGGTCAAGATGTGGGGCTTGGATAACATTTGAGCTTCCCCTTATCACTGAGTCTGATTCTTAGCCGTGGGCATTGTGATTGGAGAAAAAAACCAATACGTATTATTTTCCACGAATTTAGTGTATGTGCAAGAAGAAAGCTTCTGGCACACAGCTGACAGGGAATGAATTTGGAGTTTCTCTTAGCATCATGTCCACATATCTCGCCTGGCTGCCCTTTTGCTTGATGTGACTATGAAGTGGCCAGCCAATGTGGGGATGTGGTTTCAGTTGTGGGAACAAGGTTTTTGACTGAGCAATGCCATCTGTTTTATGTGGGCATCAATCTTGTTCCTTTGACCACCATTCACTTGCTTCAACCACATGACCATCCCACCTACTTTATACTTGTAATATTGGTGGTAGCACCTGGCATTTATATTGTAGCACCTGTTTGATGTGATACACTTCAGAGGAGCCCAGGTGAAATCAGGAAACATCTTTCAATTACTACCTGGCTAATTGGTTTTTGTAAAGAAAATGAAATATTGCTGCCTCTTGATCTATTCCCGGAGAGTCCTAGGGGACTTCAAGCCAATATAACTTGGTATCAGGGAACAGTCTGTGATTCATGGAAATGACTCAGTAAGTCATCTGCCTCGATAAATTGTGACACATCATGCTTTTGCCTGGTCATCTGGCTCCAAATGGAAGCTCAGGCAAATGAGCCAGGTTCTAAGCTTCTATCAATCCTTGGTTCAGGCTAACCAAAGCAGATGCCTGGGGGGGTCTTGCACTCTGCAGGCTCAAGGGAGTTGCTGGTGTTATAGGCAGATAAATTGTCTATGGGAAAAGCCACTTTGATTATGATAGTATGATCCTCTGCTGTTTCCCAGGACCTGGCAAAGTGTAAATGAGATGCAGTGCAAGTGAAGGGCTCAGGGCAAGAGTTTGGAAATCATGACAAGCTGGAGTCAAGTTTTGGTTTTATCACTGTTTATAGTAAGAGTCAGCAAGCTTTTTCGGTAAAGGCCCGCTGGTAAACATCTTAGGCTTTGTGGGCCATATGATCTCAGTCACAACTACTTGACTCTGGTGTTTTAGTCAAAAGGGGCCAAGACAAGACATAAATGAATGGACATAGCTGTGTTCTAATAAAACTTTATTTACAAAAATAGGTCAGTGGGCCAGATTTGGTCTGCGGCTATAGTTTGCTCACCCCAGATCTATGGGACCTTGCACTAATAAATTACATTAATCTTCTAAGTTTCCCTTGAGGATTAAAAAGAGATAATATATATAACAAAACACTTATATGCTGGATATAAAGTAAGCACTTGGAAATAGTATTTGCTATTATTTTACTAAAAATATTCCATAATTTAAGATGCCATTGATTATAAGGTACATCTGGGATTTCAGAGTTGTTAAAATGTGATAAAAGTCTTGGAATTGATGAAATTAACAGTAATTAATTAGAGTGACAAGGTTATATGTAGGATTTTGTCTTGTTCTACCAGTGGTAGTGTAACATTTCTTTGTGATGTTTTTCTTGTCAGGGACACATGTCACGAACTCCTGGGACATGTTCCACTCCTTGCGGATCCTAAGTTTGCTCAGTTTTCACAAGAAATAGGCCTGGCATCTCTGGGAGCATCTGATGAAGATGTGCAGAAACTAGCCACGGTCAGTTTACTTTCAACTTAAAAACCTGTTCTACTTATGTCCATTTGTAAGGTAAAGAAAGAGTTGAGAGTTATCAACTATGGATTTTAAAGCAAACGTTCTGGATGGGGCATGGTGTGTTTTTTGGAAGCAGTGTGTTTTTGGCTTATTAACCACATAAATAGTTGTATTTTATTCTTCTCATTCAGGGGTTGGCTAAATAGTAAATATTTTAGTCTTGCAGGTCATAATGTCTCTGTCACAACTACTCAGCTCAGGCAACCACAGACAACACGTCAATGAATGACTATGGCTTTGTTCCAATAAAACTTTATTTATTAAAAGCTAGAGGTGGGCCAGGGTTGGCCTGTATGCTGTAGTTTGTTGACTCTCATTTCAAGAAATATTGATAATAGTAAATTATCTGATAGTTTAAAATAGCTGATTTCCTAGAAATATTAATAATAGCGAAAGGTATGCATTTATGGTGAAGTAGGGGTTGTGCTTGGGATTATGTCGTTGATTAGTTGCAGTGGTTGCAATTTGAGTCAGCGGTTAGAAGCTCAGGCTAAATAATTATGATTTGTACAAAACCAGAAAAAGATTTTATAGATGCTGTGTTCTCAGCAAGGTTCTTCTCAAAACATGCAAGGTATAATATTGGCAGCTACATTTAAGATGCTGAAAAGCCAGATCTAGCAAGTTCATATGATTTCAAAGAGCTCATAAGAAAGCAGGTTTAGCAAATTCACTTTCCTGCAGGGACTAGTTAGGTAGCCTAAATGAGCAAAGCTACCAGAGGAAGAGATAATGGCATCTTCAGTTGTGTGCATTTGACACAGATACACATTGATGGCATATTAGACATGCAAGAGTATTCTTCACTTCCACTATGAAATAAGTTTTTTGCTTAGATTTCTTAAAACACACAGCCCTTTCAGTATATCTGTTGTGTACTACTTTTTTAAAAAAAATATTTCAAAAAAAGCTTTCCTTCCT